CTTTCCTAAATTTTTCTCCTGCTTCTACTTCTCAAAACTTGGTTTGAAGCCAGTAGGTGGAATGGTGGTTAAGGTGCTGGACTCCCACATGGGCAACTGCGATTCAAGTCCTGGACCTGGCAGGACTTGGCACCGGCAGTGTGCGTGCGTGCCAGGAGCCAAGGAGGAGAAAGAAGGGGCTGTGGTGTGGCCAGTCCCCGAGGGGTCATCTCTCACATTCCCTCTCCCTGTCTCCCTCTCTCTCCAGAGAGCATATGCACCCTATGGTAAAAACCTCTTTCAAAAGTGAGTTTTATTTCCCGTATTTTAGGATAAGGTGTATTTTAAGTCGCACCTGTACAGGTGCATAGTATAAGAAATAGCTTGGTGTCTGTTTATTACTATTCTCCAGACTCAATTGCTGAAAAGATGACCTTTCCTCATGGAATTAGCTCAACACCCCGGTCATCGTGGGGGTTTACTGCTTAACGTTGTCTTCTGATTCATGGATCTCTATGTTTGTCTTTAGGCAAGTGAGAAGTTCCCACGACTACTCTAGTTTTGTGCTGTCTTCTCAAACACGTGTGGCTGTTTCCAGCCCAGTCTCAGTGGCACAGGTTGTAGGGTGCTGCTTCGGTGCCTCGCTGGTGCCATGGGAGGCCTGGGTTTGAGTCCCAGACCAGCCTGATTGTGTCAGTGTTGCAGCGCATGCCTGGAGCCTGCACCAGCTGCAGGCTGCGGGAGGTAGGCGTGGCATGGAGTGTCCCTGTTGGAAACCCCCTCTCTGTCTCGCCCCCTCTCTGCTTCTCTCCCTTCCTCTGATAAAAATAAAATTTCCAGGGCCAGCAGGTGGCCCTTTCTTAAGGTACTGGACTCCCACATGGCAACAGTGGTTTGAGTCCCAGACCTGGAGGCTTGCTTTCTCATTCCCTGCCCTCCTCTCTCTCTCTCTGCGTCTCTGGTGAGTACACGTGCCCTAAAGCAAATTTTAAAAATAATAATAATAATATGGGCTGGCAGATGACATGGCTGACCATGGATTGAGTCCTGGGCCTGGTGGCTTGCTTTTTCACTTTTCCTCTCTCTCTCTCTCTCTCACTCTCACTCTCACTCTCACTCTGTCCTTCTCTAGTCAAATTTAAAAAAATAAATAAATAAGATAATTCTTTTTTTTTTGAAGAGATTTTTGCTATAGGGCATGTGCGCTTGCCAGACAGACAGAGACAGAGAGACAGAAAGCAAGAAATCACCCCCCAGGAGGGATGGCCACGCCGCAGTCCCTTCTCCTCTATTCTCCTCTCGGGATCTTGGGCATGCATGCACACGCGCCCGGCGTGAGTTTAAGCCACCAGGTCTGGGATGCGAACCGCGGTCAACAACATGGGAGTCCAGCGACATAGCGATTATGCTAACTGCTGGTCCCAAAAAGATAATTCTTTAAAAAATAAATAAAATCAAATAAACAGATCTTTATATAAACAAAACTTTGCATATACATTTTATGATTAGCTTGAGTAGTTCTCCCTCTGGCTCGCACTGCATCTGTAGATCTGTTTCAGAGAACCGACGCCTTAGTAGAACTGAGTCTGCAAACCCAAAAGCTTACTTATTGATCGTTTTCCTCAGGGACATGTCGTAAAACTCTTCATATATTTTGTTAAATTTATCACTAAGGTTTTTAAAAGATATGTTAGTGCTATCCTAAATGGTATTTTAAGTTAAAATATCCAGCTCTTTAATGGTAGCATAGATATAAAAATTCATTTCTGTGTCCTCCTGAACCATGCTGCACCCATGACAGGAGGTTTGCAGATTCACTAGACAAGTTTCTCTGTAAACACTTCATGTACAGATGAAGGCAGGCTTCCCTCACGTCCTGGTCCTTAGGGCTTTTACTTATCTTCTTCCTTGACTGTGGTGACAAGGACCCGGACGGCCACGCTGACCATGTCCTCTATGCCATGGAGAGAGAGCGTCCTTGCTGTTATTTTACAGGGAAAGCATGAAGGCCACTCTCTGATAAGCGTATGTTATCAGGAGGCTTTTTTAGAGACTTCTTTTTTCTTTTTTCTTTCTTTCTTTTTTTTTTTTTTTGCTATCG